AAGCAGAAATTAACAGAGCTAAACTAACCCTTTCTCGAGATCTCGAGCGTAGATAAAGTAAAAAAGGCATCATTACCGTACAGAGACGATTAATTAGCGATAATTAAAGAAGAAAGTTTGAATTAACAGAGATGGAGGTGAGCGTGGGTGAAGAGTCTGGAGGTGACGTGTGGCCGTCAGCCTATGTGGGGTCAGAATTTGGGTGAAGGTGAAAGATGATTGTAGCAGAATCGTATGCGAGGGGCACGTGCAGGGTGAATGGAGCGGAGGGTACGTGCGGGAAACAGTCAGGTACAGCTGGCGCGCATGTAAATGTAAGGCAGCGTCTGTTCATCAATTTAGTGGAATAAAAATATTTTGAAAATTATTATTATTATTTTAATATCAAATTTTGCCTGAAAAAACAAAAACATATTTAGTGCTCTAAGATGAGTGTGAATAAACTTTATCGTTAATTTCGTGAGTAAATATTTTGAAAATTATTTTATTTTTTTAAAATTAAAATGGGCTTGCATCAAAATTATATTTTTGCGTCCAACATTAAAAAGAATGTTTTATTTTTTTTGGTTTATTTTACATTTACATTTTAAAGAGAATAATTATTTTTATAATCAAATTTGCAATAATATAGCAACTATAAAAGAGTCTAAATCTAATTTTATTTAAATAAAAATATTTATAATATTCATACCAACTTTTAAAATAATGCTTTTCACGAAACAACTTCATAATCATTTTAACAAAAAAGTTGGAGCGAACACAAACAAACTCTAAGATTTTGTTTGGGGTAACATTCTTACTCTTTTTTAAAAGCAACTTTTAAATTGTTTACTATAAACTTTTAAAAACTTCACCAAAAAAGCCGTCTCAAAAAGGTAAAATTATTCTGTGGGGGAATCCGAACGTGTTCGGAGGCGAATCCGGGCATGCCAAATCACCGGGGCACAGTGCATCCGGTGACATGACGTATCCAAATTCGTCTCCGAATGCATTCGGATTCCACACAGAATAATCTCTCGTCAAAAAGGCCTAAGTTAAGCATGGTTAAACATGATTTTTTAAAATTCAAAATCAATAATACTAATTATTCAAAGTTATATATGCAATTCATACATAATAGTAAAATTATTCTTTTATTTAATTTAAATTCGATGATATTGATCATTTATTCAAATTTTTAATTGGGAAATTGTTGTCATAACTTTAACTGAAATTTGTACATATGATATATCAAGTATATGCCTTTGAAGGAATTATTTTGTTCAGAATCTGAACGTGTTCGGAGGCGAATCCGGGCATGCCACATCACCGGGGCACAGTGCATCCGGTGACATGACGCATCCAAATTCATCTCCGCATAGAATAATCTCTCCTCAAAAAGGCCTAAGTTAAGCATGGTTAAACATGATTTTTTAAAATTCAAAATCAATAATACTAATTATTCAAAGTTATATATGCAATTCATACATAATAGTAAAATTATTCTTTTATTTAATTTAAATTCGATGATATTGATCATTTATTCAAATTTTTAATTGGGAAATTGTTGTCATAACTTTAACTGAAATTTGTACATATGATATATCAAGTATATGCCTTTGAAGGATTAGAATGGCCCTCTTACCTTCTAAAGTAATATATACAAAAAAAAAATATAGTAAGGAGCTGACAAAAGTTTTAAACAATAATTTGAGCCCTACAATTCATAATTGATTTAAATGTTCAAAACAAAATTTTTTATAAAATTTCTTCAAAAAATGCTTTGATTAATGCATAAAAATGAAATATTATTTATAATTATTTATTATGCTCTCACATAGCTTAAAAGTATTTCGCTAACCTTTCTCTAGGATAGCAGGATAGCAGGATAGCAAAGTCGAGTTGTTCAATTTCATGAGGCCCAAGCGATTGATAAAGATTTGAAAATAACCTTTGGTATGGAAATTTCAAATCAATAAATTAAATATGTCATAAGATCGATGGATTTAGACTCCGAAAGTCCATTCAATGTGACAAACATAAAGTAATTTGTAGTAACAATGTTATCCATTTTGGATTTAAAATCAAAGAAACATTAAGTCATGAAAATAGTAATGATAGAGGAAAATGTTGTTGCAAGACTTTAATCAATCAACATTCAAAATTGATGTTTAGGATTTGTGGAGATTTGACTTTTATCACAAATAATATGTTTTAGAGGTTAAAAAGTAATTAGTCCGTCAAAAGTGACCATCAATCTATTTTCCCTCGTTACTTTTATAATATGATATTTTTAAAGTTGGATATTTATTAGCAATAAAAAGGATATGAATAATATTTTTAATGTTTTACATCAAGATTTAAGTTAAATGGAAAGGTAATAAAACATGGTACAATGATAGGAGAATCCTCATTATTTGAAGAATGTTGAAAAGGAGTTGGAGAATTGACCATGTTGAGTTGAAAGAGTCTACAAGCAAAGAGAATTTGCCATTTTGGTTGAACACTATTTTTATTTAACATCAAATTTCATCCCTTTTTGTCCTTTGCTAATGGCTCCTCTTTTCCGCTTTTTACAAACCCTTGGGTTTATAGAAAGTCACTTCCATAAATATATAAAAATTGTACATTCAGCCATTCCTCCTCCTCCACGTATGCTCACTCTGAATGAGAGTACCTCACTAGTTGATTTGTTTCTTTAGTACTTAGTGCATCTCCAACCGAACTCCAAATGCTTGAATGACGTTGCTGCAGAGCTCAAGCGGAATGGTAAAAATTTTGCTATTTGCTTGCGGTGAGCAGTGGGATGTCAATATTGGCGTTGCATTGTTCATCCCCGCTATTTTTCTATCTCTACCTTATTAAGACACTATGTATTAAAACATTATTTACCCGTTGGTGTACTGTACCAATAAGACTACTCCACGTGTAACTCTATTGTTTCTTTTCCCTATAAAGCTATCTGCCATGTACTTATCTAAAACAAGGATAATAATATAATATTGTTACTTTTACTGTTCATTGTCTTCAACCTCTGGTTCTTGCCAAGACATATGAGGAGTTAACGTTTCTACATACCTAACTTGCCAAAGAAACGCGCGAAAAAAAAAAAAGAATATTACCTTCTCAAATTTGGAGTTCGGTTGGATGAATTACGGCATTTTTTTTAGTTTCACGCCATTTTAAAGTGAAAATGAGATTTTCGGTTGAAGATGATCTTAGGGCTTTTTTGAAATCATGAGTATCATTTTATATATTTTCATCACGCAACATGCTAATTTAAACCTGAGGCAAGCATAAAAATCCCTACTTAAAATTTTTTCATCTTAATTCACTATGATGGCATTGCTTATCTTAACTGATATAAACGAACTTACCAAAAATAATCTCTCATTTTTTAATTATAGCTTACTTGTTATCAATAATGATTAAAAAGAATGGACATTCTTGCTAGCTAGTTAGAACATTATAATCTTGCAGTTTGTCATTAGTGCCTATGTAGCGATAAATTTTTGGGGCATACTATTTGGGTTGCTCGTTTTCTAAGATTTTATTTGAGATAATTTTCTTAGTTCTTTCTAATATTATTTTTTTAGTACAAAATTTTAATTTTAAAAAAAATTGTGACAGTACTAAAATTATCTTAAATAAATATTCTGTTTGAGACGATATTTTTTATTATTTCTTAAATAAGCTTTTTAATATAAAAATTAAAAATTATTTTAAAAAACAATAAAAAAACTATTTCAAATAAAGTTCAGAATTGCGCCAAAACTATAAATATAATAACTTATTCATTTTAATTAGAATTATCAGCTTAAAGTTAAAAATAAAAATGAAATCGATCAATCGCATCATCGTTTGGCCCAACTCCACAGTAGAAATTCCGAAACTAATTGAATGTTTTATCCTCATACAACACACCACATGCTGATCTGACCGCGGTGGCCCATCTCTTAACTTTTCTAGCAAAATCACTTTCCATACATATTTTTTTATAAATTAAATTGGATTTGCACACAATCTAAAGATTTAAAAAAAAAAAAAAAGTTTAAAATGGTCTGAGAGTAGAGAGCGCAGGGAGCCGAAGCATGTGCAGGTCAAAAATGTCGCCTGAATAAGGTCAAAGCAACAGCCCAACCCATGGAAGTGTGGGGCCCGCAACTGACTGACACACATCGTGATCCACGTAGGACACGATGCTGCGTACATCTCGCTGCCCACAAGCTCCCATTCCAAGAACTATTACATTAACAGTTTTCTAAACGTCTCCGTTTTTATTCCGCATACGTTTTTTCGTTAACAAATAATGGCGCATATGAGTTCCCTATGCGGGCAAGTGAATATCTCTCCGCCTGAAGGGCCAATCCGGACTTAATTTATTTACTCAGAGTAATTTTAAAAATATATATATTAGAATATTTCTACGCAATGGCTCAAATAGAGATTAAATTAAATAATATTAATTTTAAAACTTTTAGTACAAAATTGTATGAAATAAATTTTAAGCTATCATAAGCTCAGATCAGCTCGAAATTAATCATTAAGAAAACTTATTTAAAATTTGTTAAATAGATCAAATTTAAATGAAATCATTGTACCAATTATAGTTAAATTAACAAAAACAGACATGTACGTAAAACCTGAATATTTCAACATAAAATATTACTATATTTGGATATAAAATTTTCATAAACAAAAAATCAAATCTATTAAAATTTATTTATTAAAACATAACTTTATTTTTAATGCTACAAATTTTTTTATTCCATACTTTTTTTGGGAAATTTTTGGGGCAGAGCCCTTGTCATTAAAAAAAACCAAAAGGGAAATTACATGTCATTACAATTTTATACTTTTCCCCTCCTATACGTTAAATGCAAATATCAAATTACAAATATTTAATATTTGTGCCTGCGCTTTATCACTCAGAACCACTCAGTTCCTACTTTCCCTCTCTACAAACCCATCATTCTGTCAATCAAATCGATCTCCAGCAAAAAAAAATTACCCAAAAAACGTAAGAAAAAAGGCAAAGAATCCAAGAAAATTTTACAAATCGATGCACCGCAGATCTCTGAAGAGCAATATACCGCTCTCCTTTTTTAAATCTACTACTTCAAAACTAGCGTTTGCAGATCAGCCCCCAAACTCCATCGCCGGAGATACAAAACTTGCTTCCAAAACAAAACAGAGGGCAAAAACATAACCAAAATCACCAAAAAAAAAAAAACTATTTACAAATGAACCCGTCTAATTGTCTCCTTTCTGTAAAGCATTCTTCAAAGTACAAACTTTATGTATGCATGGCTTCTTGTAGCTCGATCGGCATCGTACCTAGAAGAGAAAAGCTTGGCGGCAGAAGCCGGAGATCATGAGGTCTCCGGCGGTGTCTCGGATCTCTCAGGAGTAGTCACGCCAACATATAAGCATGGTAACGCACCGCCTCATGATATAAAAACGTGCTCTTTGCTCCTTGACAAGGTGAGCGCACCGGCCGGTAAATGAACGGGAACGAGCACCGTTTCCGCCGCCGCTCGCTCTCACCGCCGGCAAGCTTGATGATCTCTTGAGATACGCGCTATCGCCGCCGGTGGCGACTTCCCTACGGCTAGCACTATTTCTGCTCTCCTTCTTAGAAAGTTTCCACTTTTCATCAACATATAACTCCATTATTAGACCAGATCCTGTATTCTAACCTCTGCTTCTCCTTTGCTTGTGGTCGGAGACGGAGGAAATGAGAAAAAGGGAAGACAGAGACAGAGAGAGAGGGGGGGTAACTGAGGCTAACACGTCTCCGCTTATTTATAAAGGGAAAAAAAGGATTTTGGGAGCAGGAAGAAGAGTGGGAGTAGAGAGAAGAGTGGAGCACAGAAGATCTTGTGAAGAGTGCGGTGAGTAGTGGGGTTCACCCGTGGCATCTTCGGCCTTTCTTTTATCTCTCTACAATTTCTTAATCTGGAAAGGACTTCATAAAAGAGGAGCCTATTCTCAAGGCTAACGTCAGTGTCCATCCCCAACTCAGCCACTTTCCATTAACAAACTATAAAGAGTTAGAGAAGCTAAAAAAGCAAATATGTATATAGGCATTAGTCATCTCCTCAATTTTAGATTGAGAATTTTGATCTTGATCGAAAATTTTATGGTAAGAAAATTTTATGTAATATTATTTGATTATATAGATTAGAATTTTTTTATTGGGAGATTACATACATATCATTATAATATTATTTTTAAAATAATATAGGATGATATATATGTAATATTAATATTTCGAGTTTTAGATGTGTAACAGAGCCCTGTATTAAGTACTCATACCCACACCCACCCATGTACCCACCCATACCCAATGGGTATGGGTGGGTATGAGTATGCCAATGGCCTTATGGGTGGGTACTCAACATAAGGGGATAAATCAATTTGCATTTATAATCATCATATATCTTATATTAGTGCAATCATCATTACGTAATGTGCAGCACTTAACCACGTTGTGACTACAATAAATTATGATATGCTTCTTAAAAGTTTATAATCATAGCAAAATCGAAACAAGCCTCAAGGCCATCAATCTGTGGCAAACTGCATTAAATAAGCTTGGAAAGTGGGTGGGTATAGGTGGGTATGGCATCCCGAAAGTCACCATAGGTGGGTGAGGGTGGGTGAAGCCCGTCCGAGCAAATCATGGGTACCCAATGGGCACCCAACCAGGACTCCCTAGCAAGAGGTAAGGCTTCTTCTTTAATAAAAGAGAGGGGAAAGGCTTGCAAACGGAGGAGGAATGTGTATGTGTTTTCATTTGGAAGTTTGAAGCTTCTAAAGGACAAATAGATTGGTAGAATCGAAGTTAGGGCTTCGAATTTGGTCTGGTTTTCAAAAGCAAAGGAAGAAGAGATTGATTATATGATTTCGTTCCTTACATTTCTAGGATTAAAAAACTTCACTTGAATGGAAAAAGGTTAACCTAGATCTAATCATTGTTAATGCAATTATAATTGTTTGTACATATTAATACAAATAAAATCTTTCTTTCTCACTGTGGATGTAGGCATCTCTTGTTGAATCATCTAAATTTTTGTGTTCTTGATTCTTTGGTGGTTGATTTTAGTTTTACATACTTTTTTGCATATATATTTATCATAGATTAGTTTTCAAGGTGGATTTAGAGATTTAATTTCAATCTTGCTAGTTGATTTATTCAAGAAGTTTGATCTCTTGGCAGTAGCTATAGGTGTATGACTTTTGGTGTATCTTACAATTTCATTCAATAACTATTGTTATTGGCTTGCAAGAGTTAACCAAATAAAGGTTGTTTGATTGGCATATTACTCTTGGTTATCTTGTGCAAGTTTAGTGGAAAGAAGATTTCTAATTAATTAGATTAGCTCGTTGATTTGAATAATATAATTCATTTACTGTATCTTGATTTCACAGGCTTGCGTGTTGTGTTCTAATTGTAGGCAATCTAAACTTGAAATCTCTAGGTGTTTCTTTTAAGTGGTTTATGAGTTTGTATTAGTAAACTTGAAATTCAGTTTCTTATATGCAACCCAAAATTCTTAATTGAAAGTTTTAGTAGCACACATTTTTAAAGATCCTCAAGTGTGTTGGGTTTCAACAATACAATTTAGAACAAATATTAGAGAGAATTGCAACCTATTTTAGCAAGAGCGTCATCACACATATTACCTTACCTCATGATGTGAGAGATCTTATAATTGATACAAGAAATTAATGTTAGTGCAACTGGTTAGGAATTAAATAGAATGGAGATTTCAAAAGTCAAGATTGAAATGTTTGATGAAAAAATTGATTTTTTACATTGGGATAAACAATGAAAGTCATTATAGTCCAATTGATGCTTACTAAGACGTTAGAAAGAGTGAGAATTTTGTTGAGTTCATTAAACCCAACTAAGCAGACAAAAATCGTGGAGTTAGCGTATAATATGCTAGTGTTACATTTAAGCGACAAGCTACTTTATGTGGTCGATAAGGAAATGATTGTTGTTGGGATCTGGTTTAAATTATAACAAATGTATATGACTAAGAGCATGCATAATAAGATCTACTATAAGGGAAAATTATTTGGATTTAAAATGTTTGAGTCAAAAAGTCTAAAGAATATTATGGATTACTTTAATAAATTATTATTGACTTTGAACATCTTAGAGTTATGGTGGATGATGGGATCAGACAATAATCATCCTAAATTCACTTCCTAAATTATATGCTCATTTTGTTAAAAACTTAAAATGATGAAACATGCTTGAAATACTGTCTTTGGAAGAAGTTTATAATGCTTTGAAATCTAAATAGATAGAAGCCAAAATTGAGAAAAACGTAGGAGCTTTAGGTTCGAAAACTAGAGGCAGGCCCGAAAAAGAAAAGAACAAACAAAAATATAAGTTTTGGTTCAAATCTAAGACCAAATTTAAGCATTTTTACTTTTATAAGAAAGGACATTATAAGAAGAATTGTCCAAAATTGAAAAAGAAGGATTAAAAAGAAAATCAGTAGCTTTTAGGAATGCATTAGTAGCATCAGGTAGATTAGATTTGTGAATTCAAAAGCTATGACTAGTTCAACAATTTATAACAGGGAATATTACATATGATTTCAAATAGGCATTTGTTTGATTCATTCAAAGAAGTTAGTGGTAGGAAAGTCATTATGGAAAATGATGCAGCGTGTGAGTCATTAGAATGAAATTATTAGAATTAAGACTGATGAAGGAGTAATTAAGACTTTTATTAAATCGAGATATATGTAGTTCTAAAAAGGAATTTGTTATCTTTATGTACTCTTGATATGCTCAATTGCACGTTTGAGGCAGAGAATGGTGTTCTTAAGCTTGTTAGAGGTTCAATTATAATTATGTAGGGCAAGAGGCAGAATGGATTGTATTATTTATTGGGAAGAACAATGGTTGATTTAGAAGGCACATCAAATATTATAGAGACAGATCAGATAAGGGTTTGGCATTTTCGACTAGGTCGAATGAGTTAAAACAAATTAAATGTTCTGCATGAACAATAAGTTTTTAGCAAAAACAATGTGAATAAGATTAATTTCTATGAACATTACATCTTAGAAAAACAAACTCGGATAAAATTTGCTATAAGAAAATAGAATACCAAAGCGACAATAGATTACCAAATTCATTCAGACATTTGGGCTTACGATCATTATTATTATTTTTAGGAGTTATGAGCATATGAAGTATAATTTTCTTAGTTTATTTTAGCTTGTATTTGAAAAGAGGGAAAAATTATTATGTTCGAAAACCGGACTCCGGAGTTCAATGAAAATGCGTCACATCACCCATACCGAGCAGTGCCGAGCTGCATTACCGAGTAGTATCGAAAGTACCGAGTGACGTGGCACATTTTCATTGGACTTTGAACGGAGTTCGGCGTCCGCACATAATAATTACTCGAAAAGAGGAGGCAAATTTCATCTGCTCAAATAACTATTTTATTCACACCTTAATCATTCAAGGAGAAAAACTAGGTCAAAATTTTTACAATTAAAAATCTAAAAGCTCTTGAGTATATAATATGAATAAATTTTTTTCCTTTTGATATAAGTTTAGGGTTTTGAAACACATATTTTTTTTGCCTTTTGATATCAAATTTTAATGTTATTTACTGTGTACCACACATAATAAATATTAAATATCATAGAAATTGTTGCATTCAGGAGTATTCGCGACGGTAGAGAAATATAAGATTTGTCGTCTTAGCGTTGTACGAAAATCCGGCACGCAATCAGATAAGAGAGAGGGTCTAGCATTTATGATACACCAAGATTTTTACGTGGAAAACCCCTGAAAAAGGGGGAAAAACCACGGGGCCTAGCTCAGTTTGAATGAATCAACTAGTATTGCAGTCGATTATAAATGAGGCCCTTCCTTGGGAGAAGGCCTTAGCTTGATGTACATTTTATAGAGTACATTACATGATGTGATCATGAATACAAAGAATCACTATTGACATGTTCGTTTGGTCGGGAGGACCGTAGTCGGCGGGCAACAGAGGTCGGAAGGCTTGTAGTCGGTGAGCGACGTAAGTCAGTAGGGCCGTAGTCGGCTGGTGACGGAGGTCGGAAGAACTGTTGTCTGACGACGAAGATTAGAAGGACGAAGTCAGGTAGAAGTCCAATAATGGAAGGAACTCCATCTTCGTGTAGACGTCCAGCGTAGTCCGATAACCGGTAGAAGTTCGGCGTCGGGTAGAAACTTGGCGAAGAGTGAATGTGCGAAGGCGGGTAGAAATCCGACGTCTGTTGGTGGCAGAGGAGAACTCCGGCCTCACTTGGGCGGAGTTTCAGCGTCATGAGGGAACTCTGTCATTAATTGAGAAGAATTCATACATCCCGTGGAAGTTTGGAAGAATTATGGCGTTTTCCCAAATATCCGGCAGAGTTCCGGCGTCTTCAAGCGGCAGGAAGAACTCCGGCGGTGGTCGAGGAGTTGAGGAATCTCCTTTTCCCCCTTCTCCTCTTCTTCTTCTCTCTCTTCACCTGAGTCCCCTTGGTGTAGAATGAGGGCTCTATTTATAGTTTTTTTGGAGTGGCATAGCCCGTAAATAGGCGTGAGATCATGGGCGAATTGGGAGTGTTTTGAATGGACAGCCGATATTGAATCCTTTGATCATGCACCGTTCGTGGGGAATTTGTAGGCCTTAATGATGTCGTAATTCGGCGATCGTGGGCTCGTTGGATTTGTCTCGTCGAGCCGTTCGATTCGAGAATAAGCTCGCCAAAATCGGAGACCGTTTGGTAACTCAAATTGCGGTTTGAACCTTCCCATAGCCCTTCGGGTCCTTGATTCGGACTCATCTGGGCTCGGATTGGGTCAAACTTGGTGTCATTGGATTTGTATTTCCGAGACGCTCAGTTTGACTATAAGCTCGCTGAAATCGGAGTTTGGGTGCTCCCGGAATTAATTTTTGAAGTTTCCAACTAGCTTTTGCCTTGAGATTCGTGCCCGATCAAGTTAATGTTGTGATGCCGTATAAGAAATATTTACTACTTTAACTTGTTATGCACAAAATCTAATGAGCGTTGATAGGGAGATGAAAGCTATATTTCATCCACAGGAAAAGTTGATTTTTTTTTTTTTTAAGACTATGGATGTTATCATCAAAATTAATAAAAAAAAAATTTTAAAATTTTAATTTTATTTTAAGATGTCAATTTTTTATTCATGTGTTATATTCATCTTAACCATAAATAAAAAAACATATAATTTATTTTCATCAAAACTTAATAGACTATGTTGTCCTTTTTTTTCATTTGAAATTCTATAAGAAAAGTTGTTGATCAATGTCCATGGTGAGACCCCTCACCCCTGCCCCATTGTGTGGAGGTCAAAGGTCAGCTTGTCCATGAGGCAAATTAGATTTTGTTTGGGACAATTTTTTTACTGTTTTTTAAAGCAACTTTTAGTTACAAAATTAAAATTTTTATACTACAAAGATACTTCAAAAAGCAGTAAAAAAGCCGTCCCAAACAAAATCTTAGTGAAAATATTGTAACTTGCAATATCATTTTCTCAAGAAAGTTGAGGGATAAAATGATATCGAAATTTTGAGTGCAACTTTTTGTTGAAAAGAGAACCTAAACAATTTGTTCAACATCAATCAATTTTAACATTATTAAATATTAAAAATATGCAAAATATATAGCTTTATTAAGAAGAACAAATATATTCATATTGTTTAATCGTTTTGTAAGAGTTCAACATAAATGATAAAATTTTACTCACATTTTTTCTATATAAATCATATTTCTACTTATGAGGACGTATTATCATACGGAATATGCTCATTCATGATTCTACTTCGGCTTCATTTGAGACAGTTATTTTACTGCTTTTAAAAATAGTTTTTTAGCACAAAAATTTCTAATTCAAAAATTTTTTGTGCTAAGAAGCTATTTTAAAAAGCAGTAAGAAATTTATCCGAAACCAAACCTTCATTAGTCCTAATTACCCAATCTTCTACCCAAATAGGAGAACAACCATTATCATCACCTCCCAATACCTAACTCCTAATTTTAAATATTCTTTTCAAGGCAATCAACTAGTGCTGATAATCAATCATCTTCGCTTATCTTTCTATGAATATATAATTAATAAGTTTATTTTTTAATGTTGCAGTCACACTTTTATTAAAAATTGGTTATTTTTAAATGGCTAAACATTCATTGTAGTTGCAAATTAAAACTTTAATTTGCATCATTAAGAAGTTCATTCTTGAAGAATATGCATGATTTAAATGCAATTTTACTCATCCTTTAAAAAATATGTGTAATAATATAATTAATAATCAGCCATATTGTTTTTTAAAACGATGATGATAGCTAAAAATTTTTGTAATTGTGTCTTCATTTCAAAAAACTTGTTGGATTAATACAACCTAGATTATTATTTATAGTTCATTTAAAAAAACATTTTTAATTTAAACTAAAATAAATTAACTAAAATAAGATTCATAATTTTAGTTTACCATATGATTAAATCCTAAATCATCCTCATCGCAATATAAAGTCATTAATTATAAATTATTAATGAGAATAATTATCATTATTCGATTATTTGAGTAATTACAAAACTTTTATAAAATTTGCTAAAATGAGAAATTATTATATGCATATATCGGACATAGAACGTCGTCCAGAGACCAACTAGAATGCGCCACATGAAAGATACTGATCAGAACTGAGCCGTGGTACCAAGTAAAGGAGTGACGTAGCGCATTATGATTGATTAGGGGTGTCAATATTTGACACAACCCGAAAACCCGACTCGAACCTAACACAGAAATTTCAGGTTTGTGTCAACCCGAACCTTAACCGGGTCGAGTTCGGGTTAGAGTTTTCGACTCGTTTTAAAAATCAAGTCGGGTTCGGGAAGACCCGGATACCCGAAATATACCCGGATTGACCTGCTGACCGAGCTGCACCCCCCCCATCGTGTCCCCGGGTCGGGTCGTGTTGACCCGAACCCGAAGTGGGTCAGGTTCAGGTTCGAAAAATCGACCCGTTTGTAAAAACGGGTCGGGTTCGGGTTGACCCGAATTGTGCATGGTCATTTTCGGGGTTGACCTAAACCCAACCCGTGACCCGAAATTGACACTCCTATGATTGATCTCCGGATGGCATTCGGCGTCCGCATAAAATAATTAATCGAAACCTTAGGCATTTATATTTCTCTTTTGTTTCTTTAAAATTTCTATTCCAAAGAAAGAGACTAGATCATCATGACTTAAGAAAAGTTAAAAATCTTTAATGATGATAAAAATTAAATATTTGAAAGTTTAGGTTGTTAATAAAATATTATTATCAATTAATAAAAAAATGTTGAAGGTTGAATGTAATGATCAATCGGGCCATTTGGTGCTCCTACAACCAATCTATGATTAAGCTATTTGATTAGTGCGGAATCACCTAATTAGTTAAAGGGAATGGCTATGATTATCAGATTAGCCACCCATGTGTTACAAAGAACATTCTCCAAAAGCTTTCATTATCTATGCCTATATATAGATAGATCGATGGTGTATTAATGTAATATAATAACCAAAGGAGGATCTGATTCTGATATGATTAATTGCTAACTCCTATCAATTCTATCACTTCAGATAATACACGTCGTCAATTCAAATTCCAACTCGAGAGAGAGAGATTTGCAGTATATAATAGTAGGCTTGAGAGGACTCTTTCTTTTCCATGTTTTAATATTGACGTGAAATCTTCTTTATTTTTATCCAACTTTTTCACTCAACATACAGGGAGATTATTCTGTGTGTACACTGGTGAATCAGAATGCATCACGTTATCTATTACACAATAGTACACAGTCGTGGTATACAGTTAAAGGATAATGTGGCACGCTCTGATTCGACTAAGGACAGCGTTTGATGTCCGCACAGAATAATTTTTCCAAAATACAGAAAAATTAGTGTGTTTAGAGTCCAACTTTAGCTATGAATGAAATGAAAATTCATAGCTTTGGCATGTCCCGACAATCTAGACCACTTGTACATGTATACAAGAACAATATATACACACGTTGGGCTACGCCGGATCGTTGAGTGCTGGAAAGAAAATACACATGTCTTCATTTAATTGGAAGTCCGAATGTAGAGCTACATCCGAACTCTGCACATAATAATTTATCCAACATACAATCTCATTAAGGTTTCGTTTAGGATAGCTTTTTTAATATTTTCTAAAAGAAATTTTTTGTATAATTTTTTTTTACAAAAAAAAAAAATTTTGCATTAAAAAGCTGATTTAGAAAACAGAAAGATAGTTGTCCCAAATAAGTCTAAAAAAATAAAGAGTTCTTTTAGCTTTAGTTTTGGGACTACTTCCTTTCTATTCTTAAAACAATTTTTTATTAAAAAAAAAATTTACTTATTGACTTATTGTACTAATTCTTCCCAAATGAAGCATTAGGCTAGCTTTTTTAGTGCTTCCTATAACATTTTCGTTGTGCAAAATTATTTCAGAAAGTAACAAATAAAAAAATAATAAAAAGCTGTTTTAAATAGAGCCTAAGCAAATTGAAAAAAGCTCCAATGCAACTAAGATTTAAAATTAAGATCCAGAAAACTCTTATTTTTATTTTTCATTTTTTTACAACTATAATTAATTGAAAATTATTTAACGATCAACTGATGAAGATTGTTTTATTGAATGAAGAGCAATCAAAATGAAACAGAAAATTACAAGAAGCACCATTTCTTGGATTGATCCATTATTGGTCAGCAAAGTGCAAAGATGAACGAAGATCGAGGTCTAATTATCTTCTCTTCTCCCTCAAGCAGTCTTTATTGGGTCAGGTTATAACCTGATGTAGAGATACATCAGGTACCTAATAAAAAAATGTCACATGCACTTAAAACAAAAAACAGTGACATTTTTTTATTGGGTACCTGATATATCTCTACATCAGGTTATCTGACCCAATAAAAATTCGAATGTATAACTTACATTTCTTCACACACTTCATCAACACACTTCCGAAGAGTCAAAATACAAGCAATGAATCAAAAACAAAAAAATAAAAATACAAAATACAAAAATCAACTGTATGACAGGGAAGCATCCACGTGGAATTTAAGACTCCGATATCCCTTTGGTCAACGAAAAAGTCAATGGTCAGCACTTGGGAAGATCTGACGGTGGAGGAAGCAACTTCTGGCTCGGCAGTAGCCCATCCTGCACCACCCACGCCATCCGCAACCCCCAGCTCGTGTGCACTTCCAGGTGGCAATGCATGAACCATACACCTGTCACATACGCTCAATATCAGCCATCCATTACATGTCAATAATTAAATAAAAATGAAAGCTTTCCCTCTTAGACTGCTATATATGTGAAAATAATTAAATATAATAATTAGGTTAGATCTCATAATAATTATTTAAGTATATATATTTAATTATATATATCATTAAGTGGCCTATATATCTAAATTAATGAAATTTAATTATTTATGTTTAAATCCTATTGATTAAGAAGAGATAATTTGATCAATCGTTTATGAACCGTTTGATCAAATAACTCCTATGAACAGTTATTATAATTAATTCATAATAAATAAATATCTGACGTCTCTTATTATGAGGAGTTAGTTTATTCCATAGAGAATTAATTCGTGAAAGAAAGAAAGTAAAAGGGAAAAGGAAGAGAAATAGTAGCTCGTAATTCAACGAATTCAAAATGAATCAATATATGTTTTTTTCTGATTTAAAACTTGTGAAAATCATCTTGTTTAAGATTTTATGGATTTAAGATTTATGTAAATTCTTTTTTTTCGATTTCTTTTAAATGAACTTACAATGCATATTACGAGTTCTTGTAAAAGTTAGAGAACTTAATCTTAAAGAAAGTTTTTAAAATTAGAGAACTCTTGAATCTTACATGCTAACCAACAGAAATTAAGCAAGCTTAATTAAAGAAAAAAAAACTAATTACGTGATTACATACCAGGATTATCAGCAAAGAATCTAATAGCAACCCATCCTCCAGCCGGCACGCCTATTGTGTTCCTCTCAACGGGATCAGCCAAATTAAACTTAGCCGGATCTTTGGAAGGATTGTAGTTCCCAAATCCTGTTCCCACAACGAAGAAATTAAACCCATGTAAATGCAACGGGTGGCTCTCTATCCCCTGTATGCTGGTATCCTGCAGCACCAGCTCCACGCTCGCATTAAATGGCAAAACAACCACTTTTGTGCCGTTACTTACAAAGGTGTTATTCGGCGGGGTTCCCGTATAATTAAAGGGAAACAGAGGATTCGCGGGAAAATCCGTCGTATAAACCCCTTTAGACTTCCCAAAGAAGTGAGCTTGGAGCAACGACGTTGACGCGGGTAACGAGAAGGACACGTTGTTGACGGAAGCGGCGAATTTGGTGCCGTTGGGGCCTTGGCAGGTTTGGTTCTTCGGGCACGGGTTGGTGCCGAGGCCGACGGTAAAGAAGAATTTTTTATCGACGGAGCGAGGGACTACAGCGGGGAATTGAGGGGAGGCGAGGCTACGGAGGCGGGAGGTGAAATTGGATGCGAAGGCGGTGTCGTTGAGAGAAGGAAGAACGGGTTTGAATAATAGAGTAGAAGTACGGTTGGTTGGAGGTTGTGGTGTCGAGAGGTTGTTGGGCTGGTATTGGAGAAGGGCCGAGGTGGTGGTGTTGTCGAAGGTTCCGAGGCCAGTGGCGTAAGGGCGAGCGGCGATGAGGAAGAGGGAGGAAGGCGAGGGTGTGGAAGAGAGAGTGTGGAGAAGGACATTGGTGGTTTGGCCGGGGGTGATGAGGAGAGTTTTGGTGGTGAAGGGTTTGACATAGATGGCGTCAACTTCGACGACGGTGAGGGAGTGATTGGCGATGCTGAAGAAGAGCTCGTCATTGAGAGCGGCGTTGATGAGTCGGAGGAGGTAGGTTTTGCCGGCCTTTACCTTCAGCTTGAACGTATCTGCAATTTTGAAATTTTAACAATTAGCTCTTCATAATTTCACAAATTAATTTAAACAAGTACTAAAAAAATAATTAAGATTAAGCAAGTTATTAATAAGCTAATCTAGACCATTTGCTGAACAATTGTAAAGTGGGCCGGGGAAGCCATTGATGGTGTATGCATCAGAGACATTTGGGCCTCCACCAGACTGCAGGGCCTGGGCTATCACAGTTTCCGGGTCGGCATTGAACCATTCCCCTGAAAATTTTCATGATAAATTACCTTAATTTAATTTTATTTGTAATTAATAATGAAGAAATAAAATATAACACAATTAATTCACATTACCGAAAGTAATGGGCACTTCCTTGTAGGGTTTTGCGAAGGGATAGGGCACTCCAATCTTGGGCAGGATAACGAGCGGCCCATATAAAGTGACCCTTAGCCATGAAATGTGGGCATGCCAAAAGAGAGTTCCACGTTGGCCCACTATTGTGAAGTTGTAAACGAAACTTTGGCCCGTTTGAATTGGGCATTGTGTTATGTATGCCGGCCCATCAAACCATCCACTTTGTAGCTGCCTAATCCCATGCCTTCTCTCCTCAACAGCAAATTAAAAAAGTAAACATTGGTTAATGATGTAAATCATATTTACAATCTCATTATTTAAATCTATAATCACACACTTAGGCATGGTTTAGGACGGCTTTCTTACTTCTTTTTAAAGCAATTTTTTAGTGTAAAATTTAAAAAAATTTATGCTAAAAATTTGTTTTAAGAACCAGTAAAAAGTTGTTCGATAGTTTCATCTGAAATAGCATTCTTACTATTTTTCAAAACAACTTTTTATCACAAAAAATATTTGATGAACTAATTATTTTCTTACTAGAAAGTTATTAATTTTAAAAATAAGTAAGAAATTTGTCCCAAACAAAATCATAAAATGTGATATTTTTCCTTAAATTAATACTAAAATATAATGTTTTTAACCAACTTTAACTTACTTTCTCACTTTGGGAAGAATTATAGCTATTGCATGCAATAAAAAATATAACTTTGCTTACAAATATGTCAATTTCATGAATTTAATAAACTATAAAACGTGAAGGGAAGAATATTCTTAGTCACTTTTGAAGATTTGACTGATTAAGCGATATAATAAATGTGCATTTACAGTAAATCAAATATCTCTTTCCTCGTCAACTATACAATACCAAGCAAGTAATAAAAGTTGTAATTTATACCAGTGGATGGTGACATTGCTAGAGACATGATTAACCACCTTCACGATCACTCGATCTCCTTCCCTTGCAACAATCTTAGGCCCTGGGAACTTCCCATTGACAGTGATCAAGCTTCTGGTGTGGCACAGTCGAGTCACATTCTTCAACTTTATCTGCAACAACAACTCAAATCATCAATATCTCAACGATATATACCTATCTAAACTTAATTTCAGATCTCTCAATCGTACATCGAACTTGTAATGCCTTGTCAAGCTCGCGCAGGAGAGCAATGGCAATGCAAGCATGCAATACAAGGCAATGGAAGCAACGAAGGTTGCAGAAGAGACGGCAATGGCGCCCATCTCTCTCCTTAAGCTTCAGTAATTATAGTACTTAGGCTCTTCTCTGACTTGCAGGTCTAAATATGGTACAATGGAGAGGGAAGACTAAGGGTGTATGATATATAGAGGTGACTATGGGAGATTAGGTGGTGATATGATGGCATTGAAATTCATAAAGGAGATTGTCATTTGCGTCCATTTCCCTCAACAGGTTCATGTCTGGTTGGCCTCCAGGTTGGGTCGAGCTTAGTTTTAGAGTGCCAACCAAGTAATATGAACTTTTCTTTTCTTTTCTTTTTATTTTGGCTGTATTACCAAACTTAACACTTCGAAGATTATGTATCTATTAGAGTTTGATGTTTGAGGTTATTTAGGTTTGTAATGTGACATATATCAACGTCAGAACTATATATGTGAATTCCATATATTATGAGATGATATGTTCTTAAGAATCTAGAAGAACTCGAAAGAATTAAAAAAAAAATTAATAGAAAAGTTACAATATGAAACTTATTTTTAAAAGTTAAATTTATTAATAAATATTTATTGTTATTATTTTTTTATCAAGCTCTGAATAAAATAGTAGCTGTAGTTTTTTTTCTTTTTCGAAATATTATACCAATTTTAAGCTGTTATAGATATTCTATTATAAATGACTTATTTTAATGTGGGAATGAAAATAAATTTGTCATTTTTTTCGTTTTGATCATATTTTGTAAATGATAAAATGTAATTGTTGAAGATGTGGCTAACAGCTTTTGAGACAATATAGAGCTAATTTAGTCACTTTTTTATGTAAATTATGATTAAAACTTTTAGAAATATTATGAATAATTACATTTCTTTAAGAATGTGATTATAGCATTAAGATATATTGCCAATGTGTGTTGTTTTTTAGTCGAAAATATTTACAAAATCGACTCAAATTAATCAGAAAAATAATTAAATTTATATCACAGATTTTTATAATGGTTTTAATTGGTTAAATGTTTTCATAAAATGCCATATTCGAACTTAAAAATATAAAATGCTAAAACACATTTTAAGTCAAATATAAAATAAAATATGCAAGTTAGTTTCATATTTAGTCCAATTATTAAAAAAAAAAATTGCTATATAACTATATAAGCTAAATTTCAAAAATAATTTCAAAATATAAACCTAGGATTCTTAAGTTGGTGGACAACTACATCTTATATTCTATTCTATAGTGAGCCCATACTAACTTAATCCTCATTGTCAGATTAAGGGTGTGTTTGGGATAGCTTTTTCATTGATCGGCTTTTATGACACAATCATAATTCGCCTTACTAATACTTCTTTAGTGCTTTATCACTGCTTTCCAAAAAATTTTGCAATGAGAAACAACTTTTTCACAATCATAATTAGCATATATGTTAGCTTTAAGAAAAAAATGTTAAATTTCTTTACAACAGCTTAACAACCATTTTTATAAAATACTACAGACATCTCAAATAGACATAAAGATCGAGGAGATTAAATGAACAGAAATGTGGATGAGATGGCATTGATCATTTGATTAAGTTAATATAAAGTTCATTAAAAAAATTTTTATGAAATTGAAAGATTGGAGGGTGGTTGCATATTGGTTAGTTCTGCTAGCTGGTAAAACCAACTACATGCACTTGATGAGTAGTTACCTTCTTCACAAGGGAACATGCCCTCTCATCCACTGCTTTAGCTTCTCTCAAATACAATTATTTGGCTTTCTAATGAAGCCAGACCTTTTTGTTTAATCAATTATAAGTTACTACATAGCTCTCATTTACTTGATTAATTTGCAATAAAAAATATTAATATATTAGTGGTTGTCGTACTCTTTGATTAATTATTTGAGACTTTTCGGGTGGTTTCTCTAAGTCTTTTCAACTTGATATTAAGAGCATTCAATCGTGGGGTTTCTGTACGAGTTGATCAGCTGGATATTTAATTCCTAAGGAAGGAGCCTCTTTTAAATCGGAAATTATAGATTTTCTTTTTAATCTCAGCCGTTCGTTGCTTCTGATTAAATGATAGCGGAATTGGCCAGTTTGGCATGTTGGTTGTTGCTTAGATGGTGATGCCCCATCAGAACTTTGAAGATTATTCACATTTTAATTTATTTTTTCATGCAATATTTGAAAATATATCTTTGATAGATTGATATGAAGAAATATATATATGTGAGTGTGGTACATTTAGAAACTATTCAAATTCTAAGAAAAATATGTGATAATTTATTAAAAAAAAAAAGTTAAATTAAAAAGAATTTTATCAAAAAAAACAAAAAAAATATTAAATGATTTTTAGATGAATAATGAATAATAAAAAAAATGCACCCTTAAATAGGTTTAGAAAATAATGTAAGAAGATGGGAAGGAAAAAAGAATTAATTGGCCTAATTAGATTATGCATATAAAAATTGTTCAAATACAAATAAATAAAAAAATGGGCTATGAAGAACAATCTTATTAAAACCCAATCAAAATACTTTTAGTAAGGATCGAACAACAGCTTAAAAAAAAAAGATTTAAATTCAATGAATTTAAGCAATTTTTGTTTGTGAAAACTTCGATATATATATAAAAGAGGTTATCAAATAGTTTGGATAATTTCGTTCAAAATGAATTTTAAGGAACATTTCTTCTAAGAAACAAGCAACGGACATATTTGACAATTACATGCATGTATTATAAGGCTTATGAAACAAAAAAAAAAATTATATCATACAACATATCAATATAATATTGCACATGATAATATCATTTATATATGTGTTAGTAACACTATTAAACATATATATATATATATCCCATAATATTCCTCATGCATTGATACTATTATCGCAGTTGGAAGCTAAACAAAGTAATTAAGAGGGTAGGCGAGCTCATTACAGTTGATGGTTGTTGGCGAATAGATCTTTCTATCTAATTTTTTGACCTCGTTCTGTATTACTGATCTTCCCAAAGTCTTTTCTCTGATAATCTAACATAGGAAGAAGTCCGCTACTACTGGAGCTTTCCCTATCGCTGATAGCCAGCCATATATCCATATCTATTAATTTCTCTATAGATAGATTATCTAGCAATCTATCGTTCAAATAGTATGAACAACTATGTCAAAATCCAATTTGATGTACCTAATCATTGGAGACTTTATACGATCAAAAAATTTGATTTTTGTTCTTTTATTATGTCTGCTCTCGATAGTTTGCGTTGGCCTAAACTTCTTCATCCTTTTTTCTATTGTTACATCTCTTTGTTAGGTGGAGAAAAAGAAGAAAAATGAATTATTTCTGTAGCATTTCGGATTAAAATGCATGGAAGAGCTGATCTGCAAATCCAAAATAATAGAAAATTTTGTAAAAATTCATGTGAAAGAGAGCCTGCATGTATTTCTTAAGAAAAGTTTACGTAAATCTTTATGCTTACAGTATACGATCAGAGGCTGGAGGCTGAGAGCTCAACAACTTGCGAAGTCTTTTGAGGTAATTAATTAAGTATTTGGTGTTCTCCATATATTTCCCAGCAGTCACAGTTAAGCTCGCCAAGCTCAGTATTCACAGAATCATAAACAGAAACCTTAGGGCTCGAAGCTTTCTAATTCTTGTTAGAGAAATGTTAGCTTTACTTCTAAGCTACATTTATAAATATACTGAAAAACTGGGTAAAATCTAGAAGTTATAATGATTTAAGTTACTTGATGGAAATAAAATATAGTACTTCGGATGTTTGAGACAGTTTTTTTACTGTTTTTTTTTTTTTTTTTTTTTTTTTAAAATTATTTTTTTTTTTTGGCTACTTAAAATGATTTTTTTATATTATAAAGTTATTGAAGAGAGTAGCAAGATAATTATCTTAAATAAATTTTTAATTTGTTTAATTGATTGCCCATAATAATTTGGGTACAAAGTACTGTCACAAGAAATTTAATTAAGACAGAGAAAAAGATTGGTACATCCATCAAGTGCATATGTTGGGCTGTCACAAATGGCTGTGCATAGTTTGGCTATCTTTCAAGTCAAAGCTCTTCATTTTGACCATGTGATCAGGGGATTTTATGACCAATTTCAGCTTTTGGATATTTAAGGTGTTATGGAATTATCAAAATTTTACAAACAAAAAAAATCTTTTGTTTAAGATGTAATTTATAAAATAATGATCTTGATTACTATTATTTTCAATGCAATTACAAAAACAATAGTTCTAATTACTTTAGACTTGAAAAATCGGATTTATTATTTAAATAACTACATTCTTTATTATTTAAGTACTCAAATTCAGAAATTGGACTCTTTGGAGTCAATAGATTAAAAAAGAAATTAATTTTGTTGATAAAACATTAGACTTTAAAGCAGTCCATCATATGAATAACATCTATCAATTATATTATTAGTAAGAACATTCATAATTATGCTCTAAAAATATTAATTCAATATTTAATTAAATTTAAATTTTTAAAATTTACCAACTCTAAAAATTCAGATAAAAAAACCAAGCGATTATTCTCAATTATAAGTTTGATGTTCAAGGATAAAATTCAAATTAAAATTTCAAACATTTGATTTATTATTAAATATATGTATATTTTAACATACTTTTTGACCTTTCTATATCATAATTAGTTTAAAGTTTGAAAAAAAAATGAATATAAAATATTTAATCAGATAAATATTATTTATGTTTTAATGAACTGTGGCAAAAATTATTAGTAAATATTAATTCACTCTTATATCAAAATTTAATTACTTATTTAAATATTTGTCAAATCTATAATTAATCACAAATATTATCACTTCAACGATTTGATTATAAGTTAGTTCAGGAAAACAGATTGTGATTAATTGCACGCATGGACTTGTTTACATGGGCTAATAATACAAATTGCTATTATCTCTTCTGAAAAATAAAAATTAGTCTTCTATTAAGAGAGTTTTTTTATTGATTTTAAAAGCATTTTATTAATAAATTCTTTTATGTAAGCAACAAAAAAAATAATGGTAAAAAACTATGCCTATGAAATTCATAAACTTAGGCTTCATTTGGGACGACTTTCTTACTGCTTTCTAAAACAACTTTTTAGTATAACAAATTTTTGTGCTAAAAAATTGTTTTATAAAACAATAAAAAAGTCATCGCAAATGAAGCCTAAGACTTCACTTGGGATGGCTTTTTTAAGTAGCTTTAGAGTACAAAATTTTAAAAAGCAATAAGAAAGTCATCCAAAACGAAACATTAGTCTAAAACAACTTTCTTACTGCTATTTGAAGTAACTTTTTAGTACAAAATTCTCTAGCTGAACAAATATTTGTACTAAAAACAATTTTAGGAAGTTGTAAAAAAACTATCCCAATTAAAGCCACAGTATCTAAAGAATTTGATGTTATAGTTTTACATTAGAGAAGAGTAAGCACGATATCATTTATTATTTAGAAAAAATGAAAAAAAAAAACACTTTAGCTAAATGAATTTGTGGACCATAAACCTTTGTGGGTAAGATAATAGGCCTGGCCCAGTCTAACGGCCTATTAATCCACTTGAGGCCTTTAGGGTTTATATATTATCCTTATTTCTCTCATTGAACTTAAAGTAGCATCACCTCAAGGAATTATTTAATAATTTTTTTCTTTGATGTGATTATTATTACTATACATCTAATAATAATTATCTACATTTTTTAATGATTAAACATTATTAGTAAGTAAATATATTGAGAAATTAATTCAATAGTTTAATATTACTAAGTGGATAAGATTTTCTAGTCATTTGGAAGCTTCCAAAAATAACTATGTTGAGAAAGGAGAAAATAATAGAAATAAGAATACTGATAACTAAATAGCTTTTTTGAAAATGATAAGATTTCTAAATAAATAAATTAAGCTCGTGCTCAATGGAAAGATTCTTCCATTTTTAAACATAAAATAAATAATTAATTAATCAAAAGTGGCCTATTTCCAACTACTTTTCATGCTATATAATGCAACAATGATGAAAGATGATAATTTGTCTTCATTTAGAATATGGTCTCTAAGGCTGGCCGAGCATTGCTTCTAAAATTCAATCAACAAGTAATCTAATATCCTTTTTTACTTATAATTGAGCATTAGCTCCTTTTTAATTTATTTTTGAAAAATGATATAAAAAAAGAATATATATATATATTTTTTGCATTGTAATAAAATGTTGTTGCAACAATTTTATTCTTCTTGGAGCGAGTGAGAGAGATGGGCAGGCAGGCCTGCTGAGAGATAAGACAGATCCAACTACTTATGTGAGCTGGACCCTCCGCATGCGTGCAGATGAAGCCAAACCGGCCCGGCCCAAGCATTGAGCACAGCCAACTGACCCTGCCCACGCTCGTTGGCTCTCTACATACACACACGTGTCTGCAACCCTGCAAGTCAACGTCCGGTCCCACCTCTCTTCAACCTTCTCCTAATTCCTGAAATATTTTAAATAAATCTTATCAATATATTTTAATTTTATTTCACTATTCTAAATTTAACCACTGCAACAATCTCATTCCGTGTGATCGGCTACATGAATTTTTTTTTTCTATTGAAAGTCAAATTCTTATTTAAATTTAATAAATAAATATTATTTTTAATATTTTCTATAAAATCTTTTTAGGTCGTATATCTCTACATTTCTTAACATAAATCAAATCTAATACCTTTACTTTCCTAATCATGCAATCGGCCATTTTATGTGACAAAACCTAATGCCTCTACTATTCTAAATTCAACTAATTAAAAATTGTTAATTTTATATAATATTTTATAAATAAAATCAACCAAATGGAGCCCAGAATGAAAATAAGAGATAACTAACTGATGTCTAATCTGAATTAATGGCTCCAATTATCTCAATTAAAATATTAAAGATAATTAAAATGGAGTTAGCCGACTCCCACAAAAGTCAATGCCTCATATGCTTGCTACATACTAAGTTTATGAAGATCTTTGGAGATTAGTGGTGGATATGCTAATCATGGTCTTCTCCAATCACACCCATCTTTTCAACATTTGATAAAATATAGCCCCTCAATATTATTATTTATCAAATGTAATATCACAATCACAAAAGATTATATATATATTTATATATTTATTTATCTATTTAATTTTTAAAAAATAAATTAGGCGTATAAAAAGATTAGTTATTAAATTATAAAAATTAAGTATTAATGCGCTTTGAAAAAAATATGCTATACAGATTTATCACAAATAATAATTTTTCGTGATAATGTCATAACAAAAATTTGTAGTGAGCCCCTCTTTCGATTGTTTAAAGGTTGAGTGTATAAAAGGAAGAATTATTCTGTGCGGAGTGCAGAGGATGTCCGGAGACAAATAAAAATGCAATATGTCACCTCATTGGTGGGTACCCAGCTCAGTACTTGCACTCGGTACGCTGGGTACCCAGTTTTTAACCCGACGTTTCTCACGTCCGGTGTCCGTACAGAATAAAAGCTCCTATAAAAGATAAGATATTCAATATTTATGACTGTTTTATTAATATTTTAAAAAATTTATAATTAAAGATGAGAATGTAATATTATATTTGTATCAAAAGAATTAAAATTTTAAATCTCCAAAATAAAATTAGGACAAAACTTGTATCGCAAGCAACGAGATAACGCTATTAATTGTATGAACATTACAAAATTCTTATATATTTTTATTGTTTATTTTTCTTTTCAATCTTCTAATTTATTTATTTTTCATTTGAATTAAATTTTGCCTATTTCCAACCGTTATGCTAAATGATTCATTTAGCCTTAATTATTTAACGGCCATCCTCACCATTCTGGTGGTTGCTTGATAAGAAAGGGACGCATGCATTGCATCTCCTGTTCAAGGAAATCGAAAAGACTAAAAATTCTTAATCCCCCTATCTAATCACGAAAAAACTTTACCGTTAACTATTTCATAAGTTAGAGAGAGAGAGAGAGAGAATTCTAAAGATAAACATGAGGGCAATTCGGTCATTAGAATATCTATTATTAGCTTGGCTTGAAGCTTTAAAGAGCAAAGTATGGCTTTGAAAGCAGGAAGCTTATTAGTTCCTTATGCCCAGTCCATCTCACTCTTAATAAAGCTTATTAGAATGGAGGATATGTTGGATGAATCAGTGGCCAAATGGCTTGAAAGTCTGGAAGAAGAGTTCAACATGCAAGATGTCCTCTTTCACACTGAGCAAGTCCCTCTAATGGCTCCTCAGCGCAGAGCAACTGAGCCTAAATCAGAAGTTCGCAGTGCAGAATTAGTAAACTTGCTCATCTCCAAGGTTTACTCAGGCCCAACAATCGGCGATATCGAAAGCGCACTGAGCCTGAGCTGCAGCGATGACAGTGGCCGGAACTACAGGTCTAGACTAGTTTGTGAAAGTAGCTATTTGTTACTCCAGATTTTGATATTTTTGAATGTTTGGATGTTTAGAATCATTTTTTTGAAGTTGCAGATCGGCGTTGCAAGAGAAGGGGTCAAGTACTAAGATGGACAAGTATACGCTCAGATTAAAAACCTGTGATAATGGAGTTGCAGATGATGGCTATAAATGGAGGAAGTATGGCCAGAAACTCATCAAAAATAGCCCAAACCCAAGGTACTGATTCTCGACTGAGATTTCGTTTGGGACGGCTTTCTTTTTGTTTCTTAAAACAGTTTTCTAGTATACAAATTTTAATTTTTGTACTAGAAAGCTATTTTATGAAGCAGTAAGAAGCTGTCCCAAACGAAGTCTGAATCTCTGTAAACTTCTTCATTATCTTCCGGAGAAAAGTCTTGGCTTTTCCCAGTTCTAGAATTTGCCCCTCTGTAATCATCTTCCACAATTGTGCTTTCTAGAAATAATACAGGAGAACAGCCTATATTTTGATAGAGACATGGTTGTCTCCACACAATTTAAAGGCTTAACTTGCAATATTAAAATAATTTAAATAATAATTCTACTCAGCCACCCCAACCAGTCATTATAAAAAAATATTCAGCAAGATAGTAATTCATGCTGGTTGAGAACTTTGGCTTCATCTAAGAATTGTGATTCAGCACTAAGAAAAAAAATCAGCAACATAACTAAATGTGAAAATGACTTAGTGTTGACATATTGAATATCTAATCTTTATTATAAAAAACGCATAACCGTTAGGATTTCGAAAATCATATACTGTGACCACTTTGCTAATGAGTATCTGAAAACAGGATTAGTTAATAAACACAACGACATCACTGCTCCAAACATAGCCTTTCAGGCCAATATAACTAAATTTTTGCACTGAACTGCTATAGAGTAATGATAGTGTAAGATGATTAGTTTTTGTATTAAGATAATAAGTATAATTAATTAGTTAGTAGTAAATTAGTAATAATGATAATAGTTTCTGTATTCTATAAATATTCCTAATTAAAAATAAATAAATGATAGTTCTTTCAAATCAATGGTAGCAATTTTAACTTGCTAGAGGTTCAAAAAAGAAGAGCACAAAAGAAAACAAGGGCAGTGAAAGAGAATTATCCTTCATTCATCAATGTCTAATTCCTCACTAATAAGAGTATTTAAGACTATAAAACTATTAATTTATTATCATTAACTTCTAACTAATTAACAATCCTTATTAACCTAATACAAAAACCGATCAACAAATACACGAAATAGAGTAACTAGACCATTGATTGGCAGCTAATGAAAATTGCATTTGGAGTAAGAAAATGAAACCACAACTTGCGTATACCACAAAAAAGAAATATTTTGCAACAGTCAATAGAGAACTTTTTTTTTTTTTGGTATGTTGGTTTAAATCTTTGTCCTAGAGCAAAATATTTAAGTTTGAAGATTGGCATATAAATGTGTGATTTATGATTTGACACACAAATTCCTTGTAAAATAATTATTTCTGCACAAATAGACAACATATAAATGTGTGTGATTTTTGATTTGACATGCAAATTACTTTCTAAAGGGATCATTTAGATTCACACTCAATTTCCTTAATACATTCAATTCGCAAGCAAACATCTTTGAAGGGGGAAAGAACTCAAAACAAACGTAATATAAATTAATCCATGATTTTCCACATCTAGATGTTTTCCTTCTTCGCTTCTATCAGGTAAAACATTTACTCTTGCTTAAATTAAAAAGGTCATAAAAAAGCTACATCCGCACCATATTTCAGGCTCTTTGTATGATTGTCATCTTCATTCTAAATATGACAAACCTAGACAACTGCATAAACACTTAAGGGCAAAATGGCAGGGCCAGCCATTTGTGAAGCTATAAGAGATATTATGTAGGTTGATCCTATCATCTTCAATATGGATAAAATACATTAACCTAGGGGGGAAAAAAGAGACAAAGCACCACTATGAAGAAGTACTGATAGCATTTAGCTGGCAAAAACCACTTGTGTTCTTATAATTCTGCAAATTTATCCAAACTTTGCTGTTCTCACTAAGATAAAATTTATTTGTTTCGGAGAAGCAGGAGCTATTACAGGTGCACCAACCCTAGGTGCAATGCAAAGAAGCAGGTGGAGAGATCGACAGAAGATCCCGAGACAGTCATAGTGACCTATGAAGGTCTCCACCTCCACTTCACCTACTCCCATATCCTCCTCTCCCAGAAAAATGACCAGCATGCAGCAAGCTTAAATGCACTGAAGAAACAAAAGAAACAAACTGAATTGCAGCCAAAAGAATCTGAAGGGCAGCAGCACATGCAGCAAATAGCACAGAGCATACAAAATAGAGAACAGCCGCAGGGGAACAAACATTTGAGAGATGGAGAGAGCTATCAAGAATTCTGCTTGGAAGATATCTTGCTAGAAAATCCATCAATGAGAGAAAAAAACATACACGGACTTCTCACTGATGTCCAGAGGCCACAAGGGATGCTGGAAGATGTTGTTCCCTTGATGGTGAGGAAGCCTTGCAGCTCAGCCACACCTTCAAATGAGCCTTCCTATTTCCCTCAAGAATCTTCCCCTTTACACTACTCCTCCCTCTTCATCTCACCTAGCAGCTCCCAAATAGATAAGGGTATACTTTCAAGCATTCTGTGAGAGACGAAGTTGTCGGGAAAACTTACAAGAGTGCACAACATAGAATAAAGATCTGGATTTGGATGTTATTTTCTACTATGTATAGTCCTCGATTACAAGCATTACTTGCTTCAACAAAAAAACCATGGAGCAAGTAGATACATAAATTATAAAAGAAATTTCATGTAAAATATCAGTAAATGTTTTGTGTATAGTAAACCTGTTTTCAACCGGAACAACTAACCCTTCTCAAATCTCAATTAGGTTTCATTAGATTGTAACATGAAATAAGACTTAGAACTAATATAATGAAAATCTAGGAAATTCCAACAAGCTGTCTTCAAACAATGCTCATAGCTCGGCCTATCCTTGTGCCATATTTCATCGTCTACCTTTTTTTTTTTTCTCATCCAAAAGAATACTAATTGTTTAGAAATTATACATACTAATGTATGAAGATCTTCCCCAATTTTGTCTTTGCAATTAATAAATATAATATTTTGTTTGTTCATGATTTTACTCGTTATTGTTTGGATTTATCGTCTACGTTCTAATCTGAAACATAAACTACATTTCTTAAATTCAAATTGCTTGTTGAAAATCAATTTTAAAAACCTATAAAAGTTTTAAGATCGAATGGTGGTGGTCAATACATGAATCATACTTTTAGCAAACATCTTCAATAGTTTGGAATTGTTCATCAAATTAGTTGCCCTTACACCCCTGAGTAAAATGATGTGGCAGAACATAAGCATCACCATTTACTTGAAACTATCTTAGCTCTATTTTTCCATGACCATTTTCACCCAAAATTTTGATTTGACACACTCTTCACTGCTACATATCTTATTAAATGGCTCCCTTCAAAAACTCTTCATAATACATCCCTCTATGAGCATTTATATCACCATCCTCTAGACTACAGTCACTTTAAAACCTTTGGTTGCCTATGTTATCCTTGGTTCCCAACCAAACTTACAAATAAACTTCAACCTCATTCCAGCCCGTGTATCTTTCTTGGTTATGTTGCTCATTCAAAAGGCTATATATGCCTTGATTCCACTACGGGTCATTTGCATATTTTCCTACATGTCCAATTTCATAAATCCATTCATTCTCCTTGGTTAATTTCTCTTTACTATTTGGTTAATTTCTCTTTGTATTTGGTTAACTGGGCAAAAGAACTTAGATAATTGAGTAAATGTGGAGACAAACATGTCCGATGAAGAGCAGGAAAAAGCAACAAGATTGCTGATTGCAAGCAGTGTGTACAAGCGCACAATTGGATTAAAATCAAAAAATAAAAGCAATATGCACTCGTTTACAAGGTAGTTAATACCAAACAAAAAACAGTATGTTAAAAGAGCTAAGGAAAAATAAAATGGATTTGAAAAATAGCATGCATTTGAAAGATTTCAAAATAGTTCGGCGAGCTTATCTGAAATGCGATGGGGAGTTCAAGCCAACTGGTGATTTGATGGTTTTGGCGATCCACAAAGACGGATGAGGGGTTGTGTTCGGCGAGAATGAGATGAACGAGAACGTCAAAGAGTTAGAAAGCGAAAGAAGTGAGAAAGTGATGAGTTCGATTTTAAATGGAGATGTGTTCGGCAAGGTACCTTTTCAGTGCGGCGATCGGATTTGGAACGGTCGGGATGGAGAAGTAACCGATCGGGTGTAAATGCATATGCTTTGGTGCAAGTGAAACGGCATGTTGCGGCAGGCGGAAGTGGAATGCTCGGGTGTGATAGCTTTCGAAACGGTCCGGAGGAGATGAAGTCGATCGCCTGGAAGATGATCCGTTCGGCTAGGGTTATTGTAAAGACGAACGGACGCCCGGAGTGCTAGCATCGGAATTCGTTTGGCTATAAGATGTACGCTTTCGGCTAGGGTTACTGTAACCGTGCGGGATTTTGAAGCCCAACGGTCTGGTTTAGGAGTAATTATCGTCCGGATACGCAATGCATCCAGAGAGAAATAATAAAGCTTCACATCACTCAAGTGTTTGGTATAGCATTTGGTATCGCGTTTGGTACACTCCATATGTTCCATATTTTATTCGAACGTAATAAATTTTTCCTGGTTGATTTTAGCTCAATTTTTTTAGAAATGTGAAATTAAAAGCATCCTAATGAGGAGCTCTAAATTAAAAAAAGAAACAATCAAAGGAATCATAAATAAATAAATAATAATGGCAGTAAATAAACATATAAATAAATATTTTATATGAAGTGATAAATGATAGAATTTGAATAGTTATATATGAACGTTGTAGATTAATTTAAAATTTATAAATGAGCGATCAAGATTTGTTATTGGTAGAATCTCAAGCCACTTTTATGTAGTAGTATAGATATATATAGATAGATAGCATAGATATAGATATCATATAATTAATTTCATTTATTTATGCATTAGTTGCATAATAAATCAAATAATTTTTTTGCTTTTTTCATCCCTAATGTATTAACTATATAGTAGTATTGATAATATAGATATAGATATCATATAATTAATTTCATTTATTTATGCATTAATTATAGAATAAATCAATTGAATTTTTTGCTTTTTTCATCCCTAATGTATTAACTATCACAATGTTTCCTTATAACTATCCCACTACCTCTATATCCCGCTCCCGCTATCCTCTCATCTCACACGCTAACTAGAAGAAGCAGAAGAGATTAGAGAGAAGCCCAACCGAATGCTAGTCGCCATCTTCGTGCCCGAACGGCTGAACACCGCCCACTCGCCTAGTCTCTAGTCGGCGGTCACGCCCAATCCAATTGCCCTCTTCGTGCGTGACAATCCAACTGCCCGTTATACGGTAAGAATCCTAAATCTGATTACCTAACTATTAGCCTAGTTTTCAAGTTATTTATCTTTACATTTGAGTTTTGATTGGAATGAAAAAAGACGGGCTTTTATGTGGAATTTTTCAATCTATGTCTATGATTTAACTGTGAATCAAAAGTTTCGGATCTCATTATCTTAAGACAATTATATTTTGAAGCCTAACATAGCTTTACAAAAATTTAGCTCTTCTAGGCACCGGCAAAATACTTTTTTTTTTTTTGCAAAATACAAAATTTCATTAATCAATCAAAATCAAACGGATACAACAGCTGATAAAAGCTCAGGAGACGGCCGAGGCTCCCAGCGACCCAGTGGCCTCGCACGGACCGTCCAATGAAAGGTTGCCACAAGCAAAACGACCAGGTCGCGAGCCCCGACCACATCATTGCTTATAGCCAATCTAATCCACGAAGCAGCCAACCAATAAAACAAATAAATCCCGATGAGCGATGAAAAGCACGAATAACATGAAGAATCAACGTCGCCGACGGCCTCTCCCCCAAAATTTCCCCCGTGTTTAAGCATTAACAATAGGTTTTGTACAAACCACCGAGAAATCGTTATCGTTATCTGGGTCCGAGTCCACTTGAACATCAGAAAATTCAGAGTCCGAAGCACCATCCGATTCACCAGCCAACAAGTTAATTTGATTCCTAATCTCCAAACCAGAACAATCACCCAAATAGTTAGCCATAGATTGTGAATTAATCAAATTCACAGGGACCTCAACAATCCTGTTCACAATCGGAGCACATTCCTCACTGACGTTAAGCAAATGAGGCACTGCCTCACCCATATCCGTTTCCAAAAAAACCTTCGAGTTATCAACAGCACCATCCGCTAAGGTATTAACCTTCTCAGTAGTGATAGCTACCATGGCAGAGGTAACAGCATTAGGAACAAAAGGAGAAGCGTTAGGAGATAAAACACCCGCAACAGGGATATATTTTGAACATCTGCTAAGCTGTGTTTGAATTGTTCATTATCATTAAATTTATATTTAATAAAGGTGGGTGATATATTTTATTAAATTTTTCAGCGAAGATTATGAGAATACAATTGACTTTAGTGACCTTAGCACCCTAAATGAAAATAAAGATTTTTTTGTTTTTATCGACATATTAGTAAAATCAAAGTTAAAGAGGCTTTAAAGAAAATAAAGTGTAAAAAATATTTTGGAGCTGATGATGTTCCAATAGAGGTGTGAAAATGCTTAGGAGATGAAGAAATTTCTTAGCTTACTAAACTTTTTAATATTATTTTAAAGACTAAAAAGATGCCAGAAGAGTGAAGAATAAGTTTGTGGATTTGTATTTTTAAGAATAAAGGTGATGCACAATATTATGCGAATTATAAAAATCAAGATCGTTTGCTAACTTGATAAGGATGTGAGTTTGATCTAACACAGTCACAGAAACTTCACCAATAAGATTTAGGTTTAAAAAAAATTTTCGTATAGATTCCAAAGAAGATCTCTTAGAAGGAAAAAAGCCGACTAAAGAAAATTGGAACGGAATAGCAAGATCAGCAATCTCAAGATCCGAAACCCACAAAGAAGGTAATCCGCGATGAGTAGAAAGCCTAAGATCCGGAAAAGCCGGTTTCGTGCCATCAAGAGCCTCACGGAAAGAGCGTGCATGAGCACCCCACCAAAAAAACCAGGGTCCTTAAGCTTAGAAGAAGGCATGCTGGAGAGACCGGCAAAAACCAACGAAAAAACACACCAAAAAACTCCATAAATAAGAAGCAAACGTCAGGAACGCGAAAACTTCCCTGAATAACGAAGATCGCCGGCGAGAAAATCCCCCCCGAGGGTCGGGGAGACGGCGGAGTCAAAAAACCCCCAAAGCCAAAACCCTAACAGAGCGTCTGAAGCATATGACACCGGAAAAATACTTGTTTCAGATGAAAGCACAAATCATAAAACATGTTGCTAATGGGGGATTCTACAGATAACCACATAAAAACATTTTAAGAAATTAGAACTTTTTAATTGAATAATTCATCAGAAGGTTTAAATTTTCGAAATGCAAAAGAAAAAAAAAAAAGCTTAAAGCAATAGACAAAGAACTCTGAAATCAAACATGAAAAAAAAATCACCAGAACTACTTAATAACAACCAGCTCATCCATTGCTAAATTTCTATGAATGCTCATAATATAAATGATGAAATTCATTAAATATATTATTTTATGTTTATGATGTTATCATGTAATGCATATTTTACTCTCTAGCAATGTAAGTAGTGCTCAATTAGAGTAGATTTTACTCTATATGTAGTGCAAATTTAACACATCTATATGTATTATTTAGTGCTAAACCTATGATTTTGAAAGGACAATCAATAAGTGCTAATCCTATGATTTAACATGTTTAAACAGTATAAGCATGTTGTGAAAAATCTTTTTAAAATTTTTTATTTTAATAGTATAATCTTTCTTTAATGCTAAATCTCTTTAAAATATTTTTTGTTAAAGCCTAATTTTTAAATTTGAGGCATGAAGCATGTTGTGAAAGATAATTATTATTATGGTCAAATTAGTAATATTATTTTCCTTTAATTTAGCATGGATAGATATTTCAAAAGAAAAGTTGATGGAGATGATCATAAAACGTTATGTGAAGAAACCATCACTCAAATCAAACAATGTAGTGTTGAAATAATTTTTTGCGGATATCCCTGCCGATCCTGGATTGAGAAAAAAAATCTTGGACTATTATCCTAATGAGAGGAATTGTGTTAGGAGACATTACTTATTTTAAGTGTATTTTACATTAATATATTTTAAATGAGATGGCTCATGATCAGCTAAGTAATCAGGTTAGGGCTGGCTTAAACTTGACTCGTTAGCTTATGAGTCATTTATCTAGCTGAGCCTAATTCAGCTTATGAGTCAATTTGACTCACTTAAACCTCAAATTGAGATTGATGCATGATATGAAAATTAATCTAATCAGACATAATTCAAATAAATAAAAAAAATTTAAATATTAAATTCAGGATCCTTGGAAATCCCATTTCACCAATTTTATAATTGAATTGAAGCTCTCGGCAAGATGATTTTAACATCACCAATAGTGACCTTATTTGAATCTCAATGGGTTCAAATCAAGCACTTGAAGTATTGTTGGAAACTTTAAAATATTAATTGAAAGATCAAATGATCTCTAATTTTGCATGCTCATATAATCACATTAAAAAAGACCATTTTGGCGAGAAAAATTTAATTAGTCAAGAACACTCTAATAGTATCATCATGGCATTTAAATAATGAAAGAATAATCTAAGATCAAAGCAATCATCATCGATCATCGGATTGAATTTTTGTGATTTTAGTTATATTTATCAAATTGTTACTTTTAAAAACTATAAATAGATAAATGTTCTTTATATGAAAGGGAAATTTGACTTGAGATCAGAGAGCTTGGAGATTTGTAGAACCTTGGCACTTCGTATGATGTTTGAGAAGATGATCAACAACAACCACTCCTATCATTTGATTGTCGCCGCTTGTCCACCATTGTACGACCATTGCCACCTACTTGCCTAGTTCATTCACCATAATCTAATTGTTGTTGCCCGTCTAATATCATTCGATGACCATAGTCTAACTATTAAAGTTTTACATCTTTGCCCTACCACATACATCTGACTAATATCATCTGACTGATGTCATCACCCTCCATTATTTCTCTAACAAGCTCTATTATAATCACAAGAGATCAAGTTTGAGATCACTACTTTGGCATTGCAACTTCTCCAATAGAGTATATGAATGGACCTTTATATTTTATTTATAATATGGTTAATTTAATATAGATCAAACCCCCCGATTTTTCTCTTCTTGAAAGTTTCATATAAAATAAACTAGGGTCTTATGTGTTCATAGCTTTTATTTATATACATAAAATTTTCATGCAAAATTATAACGTAAACTTATCTATCCAACAACAATAACAACAACATTAAGTCTTTATCACACTAAGTAGAATTGGATACATGAATCCTTTTTCTCAATTGTGTTATGTTAAGAACCAAATTCTCAATTAAATCTAATAAAAA